GTCGTCTACCGTAGGGCGATGCCTGTTACTCCGAAGTTTACCATCACTCACGAGGTATGGGATGTCGTCCTTGACTTGTAAGTGCACGAATCCCTGCTTTGGTGTAACCATGAAAGGTAGTTTACCAGGCATCCAGTGAAATGCATAACCCATCTTCATGCATCTCCTCCCTACTGATAACACCGTGGGTGTCTCATCCAACACGTGCGGCTCGACAGTCTCATCCAACTCGTCCACGACTATCTTGGCCACGTCGGATGTGGAAGTGGAACCATTTGCGGTCTGGAACACAATCTCATCATCATCCTTCACAATATCGACACCCAGGCTCTTTGCCTTGGCTCGTCCGATGAGATCATGACCACATCCGGTGTCCATCAACCATTTCACCCGTTTACTGATGCACGTTGACATGGCGAAAACGTTCTTCGGCAAACCATGCTGTTTCTTCCAGCCGACGGCCGATTCCCTGATTTCGTCCTTGTTCTGATCATATTCAAACATTATGCTGCTCTCCTTGGTCACTGGGAAGTAGTGTTTCTTGTATATGTCATCTACCACCTCTCTCAGTATTTTCGCTCTTATCAATGATCGTTGGACTTGATAGGCTGATAATTCTCGATGATCACTGCTCTTGAACTTCTTCTCGTCGACGTACACGTACTGATAAGGCTCATTCTCATTGTCCTCATAGCCGTACCATTCCCCTTTTCGTTCCCATTGCCTTCTCTCGTCTTCGAGATAGGTGATCTCCCCATTCTCGTCGACATCGAGTACTTCCTTGAACCATACCATTTTCTCGGGGATCTCGGACTCGCCAGACCATCTTGATGATTCGCTCATCGCGTCGTCATCATGCTCGTGGTAGACAGTCTCGGCTTCATCCGGTTCGACCTGGTCAACGTCCTTCTTGAAGCTGACCTTTCCCGCAGGAGCCGATTGCTTCAGGACTATCGCAGGCATCGCGACGGCCCTTCTTGCGATAGCTGGCGCTGCGGCCTTGGCAGCAGCTTTCGACTTGGCTTGTGCCTTGTCGCTTGACGTTGCCGGAGCTGAATTGTTCTTGATGAGCTCGTGCCTATGCTTGCAAGCACTCCCTCTGTCGCACTTTCCCTTCTGGAACGCGAAGCATGCTCCATCATCCCTCTTTGGTGACGATGATCTGGATTTGGACTTACCTTTTCCTTTCCCTTTGGACATGTTCTCCAACTTGTGCTCCGTCTTCTTGCTGTGGGAAAATGTGCATTCATTTCCTTTTACGCATCCCTTCGCCGACTTGAAGTGATACCAACATGGGTTATCTTTGCCTCCGCCCGGACTCTTGCCTCTGTCACTGGCACCGTCGGGCTTGCCGTTCTTGCCAGCGTGGCCCTTTGCTTTGGCCTTTGGGAGTACAGGAGCAGCATCAGGTCCACCGGGTTTCCCCTTTCTGCCTTTGCCACCCTGGTTCTCCTGTTTGCCAGTGGCTGGGGCTGCATCTCTGCCGCCCGACTTCATCATCGACTTGACCGATCTCTCCTTCATGTCAAGCATCAGGTCCTCCCGATCCGCCTTGATCTGATGGTCGATCAATGCCAACAAGAATTCGTACGTCTTTTGAGGATGCTTGTCCGGCAGTCTATGGTAGGCGTTGAGGCCGAACTCCATCTTCTTGCTCCCTTTGATCTTCCTGTAGAGGATATCTCTGAGAGCCAATTTGCTGGGTCTGTCCTCGCTCCTCATCTTTAGCAACAAATCATACCACTTGTTCCTGAACATAACCAAATTCTTGTCTCCAGGAAAATCAAGGTTGAATAGGTGCTCGATGTGGTAGACAAGATCCGTTCTATCAGATGTCCTGAATGATTGCATAACCAATGCCACCAACTCTCGTCCCTTCACGATCACCCCTTGTTGATGTCGTAGTTCCGAGTGTCGAGTAGCGTCGAGGTACACGTCTTTGGCTTCGTCAGGTGCTTGTTTCAACATGTTCTGCATGCCCATGGCCATCTTGATATCTATCGTAGCAAATCTGTCGCCGCCGGAGTCGCTCAGCACATTCAGGTCTGGGTTTAACCCAAGAGCCTGTTCCAACCATTTCGTCCATGTGTCAGTATCTGGATCTGCGCATGCGCTCAAAACATTCATCAGCAGTTGCATCTTCCAGTTATCGAGTTGATGGATCTTTGGCCAAGCAGGAATAGACACCCTCTCGGCTTCTTTCCTCGAAATCCTCGGTCTTTCGTTCTTGATTTCTCGATCATCCCTCGATCTTCTGCGCCTCCTCCGTGTCCGATTGTCATCTTCTTCCTCTTCTTCTTCCTCGTCCTCTTCATCCTCTTCGTCGTCGTCATCCTCGTCCTCATCGTCAGGTGGGTCATCCGGAGGTCCTCCTCCGCCACCTGTGAGGCTCAACTGACGTCGACTTGCCCCTTGTCTATTTCCATTGGGCGAGAATCCACCGTAATCCAATGGGGGTCCGTTGTTCCCCCCTCCATCACCACCACCAGTTGTAGTAGCGGATTGTGGGACATGCCCAACAACCCCTTGCATCTGGGATAGGTGTACATCGATCATTGGATCACCAAAAGACGGAAAGAGAATCGAACCTGGCATTAGTGACGAATTAGGGGTCAGATTCGACGACGATGACGGGAATAACCCAGTCACCCTCTTGTCTACCCTAGTTGAATTAGCTTGGGGTCCTCCCTCAGCGCGTTTCACTACTGCTCGTTCACGATGTCCATCTTTACTGCTAGAGGCTTCCTGTGTCTCCAGCTTCTTGAGTGCACGTAGTTCCTCCCGGTCCTTCAGTTGTCCCTGAAGTTCGTGCATCTCCTCGAGGTACTCATCATACACTCCCTTAGCTGTCAATCTCCAGTACTCGGCCTCCTTCGACTTCTCGTCCATCGTGCACCGTTCCTCTTGTTTTGCTTCTTTGACCTGGGCTAACTCCAATATAGCATCCTGACGATGACCACCCTCAATAGCAATCATCTGGTCCTTCCTCGACACGTCGGATTCATACTGTTTGACGATCTCTTCCTTCTCGCGAAGTAGGCAATCTGCTCTCTTTGATTCTTGTTCCGCGAATATCGTAACGTCGTTCAGTCTCGCCATCAACTGTTCCCTGGAGTCCTCCATAGAGTACGTCTCGGGGCGTTTGACGAGTGCATGCTCCAGCTGTGACTTTAGGCTCTGGACCATCTCCTCCTCGTTGAACTTCTCGATAGATGTAGACGATTCGATGCCTCTGATCTGTTGCTGATAAACTGATATTTGCTGCGAAGCTTCACGGTGTATCTGATTTGCATGTATAGCTGATTCCTGCGCGGCCGACTTCTCGCTTGCCATGTAGGATTTCATCACTGCAATCTCCCGCTTCTGCTCCATAATAGTTCCTTCAGCTTGTCTCATCTGTTGCATTATAACATTCGACTCCATGTCTTTCTTTTCCCCGTACTGATATGCGTTCATTTCCACCTTGCGCATCTGTTGGGCTTCCTCCTCAAACTTGCGCCATGCCTCAGCCATGTGGTGTTGGTGGTGACTCACTAGATGTCCCGACTGCTTGCTGGCAATCTCGCATCGTCTTTCCAGCTCCTGGATCCGGATGGTGCTCCCATAGTCTTCTTGATGAAGATTCGCCATCGCTGCCGACATTTCATCAAGTGTCTTTTGATATTCCCCGATCTCCATCTCCATCTTGTTCTTTTCCTTAATCGCGGCGCGAAACTCAGCACTGGTGGGTGATTTTGACCTCCCACCTTTTGATGTTGACCTCACGCCCTTCTGCGACGTCCGTGGTGTCGCAGGCGAAGATGACGATCTTCTCGGTGGGGATTCTCTTTGCTTCGACTCCTGATGAACATCGATCTGCTTCCATGATCTTGTGGGAGTGGATATGTCGCTGAATAGCGCGGATCCTCCGCTCCCAGGTTCATCCTGTGAATCTGCGATCATATCCATCACCGCAGGAAGAGCCATCAATCCATTGGATCCCTCTGAGCTGCTGTTCCCAAAAGTTGCAGTACTTGGGCTCGCTGAAGATGCCATTGTACTGTGTAGGTTATTGTTCCTTTATTGTCCCTGTACCCGCAATAAACCAGCTGTCTCTCTGTCCAGTGTAGAGCTTGTCGATACGGTCAAGAGACGGCAAGGTGACGTCCCGTGGGACGCTGTGCACCGAACCCTCCAGCTGTAATACCAACCACGTAGAAAGGTGTATACGGTCAAAGCCGTTATAGCCGAACCCGTGTAAACGTTGTAAGGGAGAAGGAATAATAGTTACAACAGTGGTCCTGACAAATGCAGCGCAAGCGAAGTGTTTTCCGCTCTCAATGCCGATCACGTATGAACGCAGCTACACATAAGATCTTGAACCTCAATTGTGTCTTGAGCCAAATGGCGATCAATGGAACCTGGTAAGAAACACAAACACGGACCTCAGAACAGCTTCCCAATTTAGGCACGGGGCCAGGAGGTTTTAACACTCTTTTTGCTGACCTGAAGAAGGGAAACATGTTCATGGGCAAAGCCAAAAAAGAAAAAACGAAAACGGGTGCCACCAAATAATTGGTAGAAAAAACTAGCCAAAGGTGGAGTCACCAGCTGGAAAGTGCAAACACTGGGGGGATATCGCTATGTGCAATGAGCAGAATTTAGGCAATCCAGGCATTCAGGACAAACTGCCAGCCGGACTTTGTGGGAAAAACAACAACGCAGGCACCTGCGATTCTTATTCCTCCCTTCTATGGTCGAAACTGTATCCGATGGTTGTGTTGGATGCTCCTCTACGTCGTGGTTTTGCGTCAAGCAGCATTTGGAGTGACCAACAAATTCGTTCCCGCATTGCAAAATGCCAGGGAAACTAAGTTGTTTCGGAGAAGACATGGAGACTTGCCGCTTTTGGCTGCGTTTTCACAGTGGCTAATTGAACCCCTTAGATGAAGTGGCCTTGTACAGTGCAGGAGTCCCACGCCCCTTTTTCCAAAAGACCTGCTTCACACAAAAAGGCGCGCCTTTGGATCCATCTTGGCCATCATGTCCTGAGATGCCATGGTCTGCGGCTGGGTGTCCCCAGTTCAGCATCACTCTGCAAGCGGTGAGGGCTTGAATTCCAAGTTTTGCAGCGACAGTAGATAATCGACATGAATTTGGTATTTCCCTTGAGGGGAACCCGAAGAAAGCAAATAAACAAACAAAGAAACAAACCAAACCTACAAACAACAAGACAGACGGATAGACAGACAGACAGACAAACGGGACGGACAGACAGACAATCGGGACAGACAGACAGACGAACGGGACAGACAGACAGACGAACAGGACAGACAGACAGACAGACAGACAGACAGACAGACAGACAGACAGACAGACAGACAGACAGACAGACAGACAGGCAAAGGAACACAAGTGCCTACGAACAACTGAGCATTCATTGGTTGCACCAGACAGCGCATAAATGCGGCACACAGCACACTTTTCATCTGACAAGGCTGGCTACTTCTCAAGCCAGGTTGCCATGAAACTGCCGTCGCTGCCAAACCTTGGCTGATCCATCCCTCGAAAGCCCAAAGGCTCATTCATAGAGCTCGTGAAGGGATCTGCACAGCCACGGATGCTCTTGTGTTGTGGGGAGGTCACATCCTGAATACTTCTTCTTTTGAATGAGTATCATGCTTCCCATTCGTTGTCAGTCAAATCTTCCATGCCGATTGCGCATGCCATGCTGGCATCGAAGATGTTGACCAGTTCTGGGGCCCCGCGCTTGTTGATACCGTCCGCCTCTTTCTTCAGCTGCTCTGCCTTCTTCTGGGCCTCCTTCTTCTTTTGCCGCTTGGACCCTCAGTTTGCAGCACCTCCCAAAGCTGGGAAGATTTCTATCCTGAAGTTCTTTGGCTGCCCCTGCCACATCTGCACGGACCTGTGCACTCGTCAAGCCGGAAACCGCAAGCTGCAAATTTTGAGCTAGTGGGCATTGCCCAAACTCGCCCGTTGAACTGAGCGAGTTAGCCTCGAGACCCCAACGACCTGATCGGGAAGCAACCGCATGGGTGTGTCGTTGAGGATCAAGAAGCAGCCCTTAAAGAACCCGCCGAAGGTGTGCCACTTTTCTGTGTCACAAGAAGAACAGGGCTTCCTATGCTTCCCCCAACATAACGCCGAAAGAAACCTCAGCTACAGTTGGCCTGCGGTCTTCAATCCATGTCCGCTGAAACGCCCTTGTCGATTGACGGGGGCCCCCAGAACGAAAAAGGGACGGAATTCACGCCCCTGGGCAAGGCTTGCCCTCACCTGGCGTAAGCACGCTGTTGGTGCCTACGGAAGGTGGCATATACCTCATCCGGCGACAGATCATCATTTGGATGATGTCTCTTCTGAATGAGCGGTGGCATGTTGGGAACGTGCAACGAGTTAATTTTGCCTTTTTGCAGGCCTTCCGCGATTCCGCTGATTGTTTCAAGGCTTCGAAGCATGAGTCGTCGGCTACTATGCCAGCTACAATTGGCCCAAAAAGTGATATTTCAACTGTCTTAACATAACTATATGAACTGCTTGAAGAATGGCGTGCTGGTTCATTCACGGTATGCCAACATGTCAATGTAACACTTCATTCCATTCCTGTCGACTATGTGGACTGTCAAAACCAGGGATCTTGTTTGGACACCGACTTAGGAACTCTAGGCTCTTACACATCCCAAACCCATGCCCCTAACACAGAGGGGGTCTAAACTTTGCATTACTGTATTTGGCTGTGATTACTCCTCAAAAGCCGAACACGTCTTTCTCGTCTCGCCGGGGAACGTTTCTTGTCGGTGGCCGCCTCGTCCGCCATCATCGCGGCCTCCCGCTTCGCCTGAAACTCCGAGGCCTGAAGCTCGCACCGACGGCTTTCGGAGGGGGGATCCCATCAAACCGCGTGGGGTGAGCCTACCCTTCCAGCTATGGGGTTTCTCTAGGGGAAGGTTGGCCTTTGTCTCATGGGCAAAAAAACAAAACCTGAAAAGAGGTGCATTTTGAATTTCTCCAACAATCCCACGAAAAAAGGGTGTGAACCCCAAAGCCCAGTTGCAACCTGAACCTTTAACCCAATAAATTAGACAAAATCATGGTTGGAATGCCCTTAACAAGGGCTGGTGGCTTTTTGTTGGGGGATGGCCTTTTGCATCTGCTCAGCCGTCCCCAATGCTTGTCAGTGACCCCAAACACCCTTGTATACCCTGCTTTTACACTTTGTCGTGCGCAGCTTGCAGTCCTCCACGGGCCTGGAGGAACAGGCAACAGGCCAGCGTCGTGCCATTGTTCTGTTCAGATTCAGGAGCCAACATCGAAGTGTCGGCCAAAAAGGAGTCCCATGGGTCAACACAGCAAGTCTGCCCCAACGGAGTCTTGCCTCTTGAAGAGCTGCATGGTCTTTGTCCATCCTCGGCAAAGCCGGCAAAGCACAAGCATCTAGGCCCGCGTAAGCGCTTCAAATTGAAAAGAGCCCGGCGCTGTCCCCAAGAAAGGAGCCACGGGAAGAGATCGCACTGGCAACCCATTGCTAAATCTTTGGCAGTCAAGGGGCCTGGAAGTACGAGCTACCGGCGTGCCATTGCAAACCAAGGTGCTTCTCCAGTCTGGCCTTGGATTTGCTGTAGGCTGGCCAAGCAACATTTGCAACAGAAGTTCTTCAACCAAACAGGATCATATTCAGTTCAATCCTTAGCCTCTAACAAAAAACAACAATATATCTTCGTCAGATACTGCAATTATTGAAATGCATGCAGTCAGGATTTGAAGGAGCCGTACTGCCTTGCTTTCCCATTCAAGGGCCAAAGTATCTCCTGGGGATGGCTTTTCGGGAGTACAAGGGGTCGAAGCACCTTGGAGGGTATCGGACCCTGTGGGGACCGCAACAACTGTCCGCTTCATCTGGTGCTTGTGGGGCGAAATTCCAAACCAAGGGAAATACGGAAAACAACAAGGAGAAACCGAAGGAAAGCCAAGGGGAAGCCGAAACCCAATGGGTAAAGGATCTGTATCATGAGTGAGCTCGTTTCATCCCAAGGTGAGCTCTCTCTCTATAATTTACCCGGATGGCGGACGCATGGTTGTGCTTGATCTTCCGATCTGGCAAGTTGCCAGCTCGATCCTCCGATGCTTGTTGTAGATGGGGATGGAGCAGCTCCCGGAGCCAGCACTGCTGCCGTAGGTGTTCCACACCTTAGAAATCCCGGCTTCCCAGTAGCATGAAACCGTGGGATCTCGGCAGATGACTCCAAAGATTCCAAAGAGTGTGCGCACCCATGCGGGGAGCCGTGCTGGTGCATGGTAGCAAATGTCGCAGCGAAATATTTGCATGTCGGGCCTTCTCGAACTCGGGGCGGTTGTTGACGAAAGCTGCCCTCAGCAATCAAAGTGGCGATAGGGGACCTCCTCCCCCCAAATGGGTGGTTGTCCTTTTCGACTTCCTTCACCGCAGAGTAAACTGGCTTCGACCACGCCATGATGTAATGCACCGTTCAATGAGGCGCTCCGGCCAGTCCAAGACGTAAGACCCCGGAAAAAAAACGCAGGGCAAAGGGATACCAATATGGGTGCCGCCCAAAAATGCGGAATCCGCCTCAATGATCGACCGATTGCTCTTCTAATGATCGGTTGCTCTGCGTTTCCGTTCGAAGGTCTCTGATTGTAGAAACCACCACTTGTGCCCTGAGTGTCAAAAGGCTTGCACTCATAGGCATACAGACTACCAGGGGCTTCAGGTATCTGAAGGACCCACCTTCAATGAGGCATACATACCTCTCCCTGAGGGTTGTTCAGAACGAACAGGTCCCAATGTTGGACCTGAGCGCCCTTCATTCTCCCTTTTTGTTTCGGAAGGGGAGGTAAAAGGTTGAACAAAAAGGCATCCCCTTTTTGAACAATGCTCACCTATCGAAGCGACTGCCGAGCTGCTGGTCACTGGGCGCGGTCTTCACCTCAGCGAATCAACCCTCCAGCCAAGGAAAAAGAGGGTGCTCTCTTTTCGGACGCTTTAGACCCTTGGCTCCTTGAGCCCTTAAGGTGCCCTGGAGCCACTCGCAACACCAGGCTGGAAAGCAACGCACTCTCAGACCTGCAAAGTAAAAGCCGAGCCGAGCCGTTTGTTTGTCTCACAGGCCAGTCAAACTGCTTCCATGTGGTAGATTCCATCTCAATGTGAAGCAGGTCAGCCAAACACATCCACAAAATCCCGAAATGCAGTACACAGGCTTAACTTTGTACCTCTTGCAATAGTTGGGAACAAAGGGCGACCTCCAGAACTGTCCATTTTCCTCCCCTTGAAACCACCCCAAAACGGTGGCTTCACAACTCAAAACGCACAAGCACGGCGGACTTCTCCGGAGCGAGCGGCTCTTTTCTGCAAATCGATTCTCCAGACGGTGACTTGAAACGACACAAAACATAAGTCACCGGAAACCGGATGCAATGGGTTGCAATGGTCGGCATCCACCAGACCCCCAGACCCCCCGTTGCGGGCCGAGGGGAACGGGGGTTTTCCGGTCATCCGCGCACGTAGCCCGGTCATCTGCGCATGTAGCCCGGTCATCCGCGCACGTGGGGGAGGGGGGGGTGGTAAGTTTCGAGTAAGCGTCGGTGGGACGCGGGTTTGGGGGGGGACGGGGTGGTGGGGTGGTAAGTTCACGAACCAATTCACGCGGGTGGTCACGCGGGGTGGGGGGGGGATGGGGGGGAGGGGGGGTATTTCCTTTATCGAACTATTATTGAGTACTACGTTGCTGTATTACATGCATATCAAACCATTGAAAGCAATAAGTATCAATCAAATCGAGTGCTATCGCAAAGCTCACAGTACCGAACCGTATCATCATCGAAACAGCCCTCGTTTGTGGAATCATGCGGAGCCCAAGAGGACTGTCAAGGTCATTCGGCTAATCTAGGTGAATCATTGCTGGAAGCATGTGGTGTTTGTAAAGAGAGCGATCGCACTGCAAACCTTCGTGATTTCAATCCAACTCGAACACACTTCCGGCTTCTGAGGTGTGGAAAAACACAAGCAAAACAACCTTTTTTTGTTACCACATGCACGGATGACCAGGCCGCTTTGCTGGAAATACCACGAAATCTGAATTTGACACGTGTAAAGAAGACCGCTTGACCACGGAAACCGATGACCGCCTCACCACGTGCACAGATGACCCCCTTCCGGCCGAGGGGCCGTGAGCTTCTCCGTTGGCCCGGCGCCGCGCACCGCCACCGTCTGCACGTTGGCCTTGGAGGGCTGGATGGCCTGTGACCGCGAAATCCGGGGGCAAATCTTGGGACTTTCGTCGAGGAGGACACCTAAAAAGACAACCGCTTTCGTTGCTGTTTGATGGAAACATGCCATATGGATACTGTCGGAACCTCTTGAAATCCTGGGGCCCCTAGTGTGGAAAGTGTGTTTCCTTCAGAACCCTCTGACTGTTTGGAGAGTCGCTTTAATAGAAAGTCCTTTTGCTGGACAACCATCCGAGCAAAACAACCTGGCAAACACAAAACGGGCAACAAATTGGCAATTCCCGTTATTGACTTTTTCATCAAACCATCAATGTTTCCAAATATAACTCCATTTTAAGCAAATCAAGGCCCAACAGTCACGCAAGGGGGAAACCCACCAAGAGACTATTTCAAGGGTCGCTGGTCAAGGCTTCTTTGGGTGGGTGTAAAATTCAATGATTGAAGCCTGAGCATACTTTTAAACGGTGGTTCTTTGAGATCTGAAATCTAAGAGTAAGTCTTGGCGGCACTAACATAAATTGTGTTGGCAATATGAACTTAAGTATTGGCGTGTCGAAGTCGAACCCATACCCCAATTTTCCCACTAAAGAGGCCCCTCTGAATGTTGGCACTGCACGCCGGGGGAGGGAGGGTGTGTGTGTGTGTAGTAAGCTGCCCCGACATTGCCGGATGAACTCTAAGAGGGGAGCCTTTAGCGGACATCAGATAGGGAACTTACGTGCACCAACCATGTTGTGAGTTTGTTTGTTTTTTTGGGGGGGGGTTCCCAAGAAAGGGATCGCCCAAAGCGGCAGAGGCTTGCTTTTGGCTTTCCGAGACATACTCGCAGAAGCAAACCACCAAAAAGGGTAGCCTCAGAAACACAAAGCTCCTATGTTGGCCTCTCCATTGAGGGCTCGACCGGCCAAGAACTTGATGTAGGGAAACATTCTTTAACAGACTCCGAAAAAAACCAGTCTTTCGAAGGAAACTCTGATGCGAATGGACGTGTCCATTTTGAGGAAACCTATGTGTGTTGCAAAGGAGAAATATGGTGTGGGGGGGCGCTGCAAAGGGAAACCAATGTGAACCTCCATCCGACAACATAGAGACGTTGGTTGGAATTCACCGGCGGACTTTGCTGTGTTTGGAAAATCTGTGTGTGCACCCTGACGAGGTACGGAAGAGACCCAAAACGGGTGCGTTTGACATGCCTTCCTCATTGATCATTGATGGTTCTTGGTTTACTTGCCACATTGGGAGTATCCGTGTTTTTTTTGAACATCCCAAAAGAAGGTGCAACGTCTGAACACCGCTGCAGACCCCACGGCAGCTGTTGGGTTATGGGGCCTCAGAAACTGGCTTTCGTGCCCCGTCAATTCCTGACCCAATCCTCAAACACAAAGCCCTCCCTCCTGTTCTGAATAGGGGCCTGCATGCAACTTGCACGTCCCCTTTCGGTTTCCCCAATGGGACGATATTGTGCGATTTTCCACCCAGCTGAGCTGGACCTCCCTGACAATTTCAGCTTCGCGCACCGCTGTGAGTTGACACCTGGCTTCTTTGCTTCAAGCGACAGAACTGTAAGCATGGAACAGAACTGTGCGCTCCTTACGGCCTACCAAATTTGGCTCGAGCAGTGCCATCCAACTTTTCAGGAGCCGACCGTCCGTCCGCCCATCTGACCGGCCATCCGCCTTTGCCATGCATTCGTCTGCCCACCTTCCAAGCAAGCACTGGCCATTTCAAGGCACATCTCCTCACACTCGCTTTACCCAAATGTGCCAAGCGACTCAGGCGGCACTATCCCATGTGAGACTCCCTCTCTTCCAAGCGTATTGCAACAGTCAGGCAAACACTTGTACTATTTGTTGCTGCTTTGGACTGAACATGCTGCTTGTTCATCAACATAGTGAAATCTCAACCCACAATGCCAATCACTGCGCTCAAGCAAATCTTGCTGTTGTGACTCTTTTGTCTCTATGTGTGTGTGTGTGTGTGTGTGTGTGTGTGTGCGTGTGTCTCGTTGTGGGTCTATGCAAAGGGTTTGACTTGGCTCCAACGCTCCAACTACTACAACAACTTCTCTCTCGCGCGATCTCTGTCTCTCTCCCTCTCTCCGCCTGCCCGCCCCCGCCCCGTTGGCGCTCACAGACAAACACAAACCGAAACACAAACACAAACACACAGAGACACACAAACAGACAACTACACACATAGACACAGAGACACGCACAAAGTCGCAGAAACACACAAACACACAGCTACACAAACACACAACTACACACACACACACACATACTGCTCAGCGCTATCCAAGGCACGCATTGCTCGCGGCCAATGAGCACTTGTTGATCTCATCCTGGGTCATCCCTGACTCCAGCATCAACATGGTGGCAAGCTTCGACGCCTGGCAGAAGGGGCATCAAGTTGAATCGCTGGGTGCCTGAAGCGAATGCGACACATGAAATACCAGGATCTGATGGTCAAGGGGTTTGTGCTTGGCTTCAAAGTAGGACAGCCCTACCAAGAACTGGGGAACACGTAGGAGCCTCTTGTTGATGCAGTGTTTCCCTTGTACCCTCAAAGAGAGAGTATATGGGAAGGCCTTTCTTTTGGGGGTAGCCCCCCCTCCACACATGTTTTTTTAGTAGGCGGGGGATAGAACAGCCAACCACTTCGTGTTCAAACGTCTATGTCGCCCAAAATGGGTGGTTTCGCTTGGTTCCCCTTCAAACCGACCCACAAAGGATACCCTCAAAAACCACACCCCCCAAACTGCGCACATTCAGGCCTCTAGCGGCTTCCACTAACGACATGTGATGCATTTCTTGAGCCCCGCGGGCTGCGACACGTGATCGGTTGCCCGGAATTCCTTTGTAGTCAGAGTCAAAATCAAGCTTCAAGTGAAAACATTCACATACACTCGTGAAGGCCCAGGAGGAAAATTGCCAACCTCTTTTGACATGCATGTTTGGCGCATCAGCTTGGACCCAAGCTGAAGCTTCCCTCCCTGCTGCACTTGCAGCCGGTGGACGCAAAACAGGTATGCTGAAGTCCCATCTCCCCTGGGTGCCTTGTTTCTAGTCATCGCCGCAAAAGGACAAGGACACCAAAAATGGAATTCCGGGTGTTCGCCCTCCCCGAACTGTGAGACAAGCGCATGCACTGTTTTGCCGAAACTTTGACCCAAGGATGTTGCTGTTGATGAAGAAGCCCGCAGCCTTTTTACTAGTAGCATCCCCTTGTTGAAGTTGAAGGCTTCTGAATTCTGAATCTCTTCCTCGCCTTGCCCCTCAACTTGTTGTGGGCAGTGATAGCCGCCAATCCCCTCGAGTCCAAGACATGCCGACAGACCCGGAAACTCATCTCTGCTTACTGTATGTGGTGGATTAAGAAGCTTCCTGACTTGGATGATGTTGCAGGGGTTGTAGGGGTGGGAAAGCTGCGACAGGGCTGGTTTGGCGGCAGCCACCGGATTGCTGCTTGGTCGGTTGGTTTGCGCTGATGGGCTCTCCTTTGAGGTCCCTGTGACTCCATCCCAGCTAAAATGGAATTGGAGGAGGACCCTACAAACATCCGCATCAACAGCGGCGATGGAAATGACGCTGAGGGCCCCACGCCGAGGTTTGGGGACCGCAGCCATGGGGCTCTTGCGGAGGACCTCGTGTCGCAAATGCCAAGGGCTTACTTCCCTTTCCCTTTGTTACAAAGAACAAACTGCGCGGCAGCCAGACTTCAAAACTTCGAATATAGCTGTGCCGAATTGGACGCCCTTCGTGGAATCAAATATGTATGGTTTGTTGTGGGAGAAAGCCTGGGGTGAGGACAGCCAGAATGAAGGCAATGCTGCCACTCACAGCCGCATACAGCACAGCACATAGAGCAGTCTTTATTCACGGGAAGCTGAGCTTGCCCTGTGGATGCAAGAGCTTCATTTTTTCTCCCTGAAATTGTAAATGAACGCCTCATAAGCAGAATGATGACACAAGCTGGAGTTCACGCATGTATCGACCTGGCATATCTGCGCTGCCCAAATGGCGCTCATCACACAAAAGCTTCGAGACTACCAGAATCAACTGCCAATCCTCTGTAACCCATCGAACATCACTGCATTTTTGCACCCCCCCCATCCAACAAAATCACAACAACGCCGAGCAACAAAACCAAAGCGCTGTTCTCAGGTGCTTTCAGCTTAGCTGTTGCACTCAACAGCACAAGAAAGCGTTCAATTGGCGTCCGGTGTCCCAACCACCAATTTCCACACAAGCAGACATCGGCCATTTCCCTTGACTCTGGGATTCTACTTCGTTTCGGCCAAACAAAGCGCACCGCCGAGGAAGCGGCTGACTTTATCAAGATCACGACCCGTCAGGGTTCCCTTCATTCAACACGTGGATCAACACTTACGAAAAATTACAGGGAAACTCAAAGAACATGGAATAATGCTTACACTGCCACAAACAAACATAAAATCTGCACAGGTCGCCTGAAAAGGAAACTAAAGCAAACAGACTAAGACTTTACCTGGTTGCCAACCTTTTCGCGAGGGCTCCACGAGCACGGAATGAATCCCTAGGCCATGTTCATCGGGAGTCAATGCTCATGGTGCTGGTGTGAGTTCCTACGTCCCCCCAAGACATCCCTCATGGGTCAAGCGAAATCCACAGGTTAAACAGCATTTGCTGCTGGCGATTGCAGTGATTCAGACTCCGCCAACTTGACGTCGGTGCAACATTTTGGACTCCAACCGCAGCGCGTCTACTCCGCAAATGGGGCCCACTTTTACCGACCAGGCTCCATGTTGCGAGCGAGAAAGAACAACTATGTCGCGTGGGCCATGGTCAAAACAAAAAGGTCACCCTCAAGAGCGGTCGACAACTTGCGTTCGCTCCCTAACGTTGGTGGGAAACTTACAGATCCCCATCTACCGAACCCAAGCAGACCGCCAACTACAGGATGTTCTGACTGAACCTCACTTGGATACAGCTTGGAGCCACAAGGGATACACAATCTACAGTCAAGTCAAAATCAGAACCAATCAGAACATTGTACTTAAGGAGTCTGCCCAAAACCCAGGTTAAAGAATCAAAGGGCGGATGTCGGCTTTGTGGCTGGGACTGTCCCCTTCCAAAGTTCATCAGCGTCTTCAACGGAACAAACGCCATAAATTGGTCGGCTTCCTTTTGACGGCCGGGGATTCCCGCAAAGCAAAGGGCAGAAATCACCAGGGACCTGGAAATAGACGGTTACTCCCCGAAAGAGGTTCCTCCAATGAAGTCTTTGTGGGCTCCATGTGTGAATCAGGGAAGGACCTGTTTTGGAAGCTGGACTAAATTAACCAACAACCTAAAACCCAATCGCAAACACAGATTACACCCGACCCATTCCAAATGGGGCCGCTGGAAAAAAACGGATCGTCACTTGCCCAAGCCTGCGAACGACACAGGTTAACCTTTGGGGCCTTGACCAAACACTTGGGGCCTTGACCAAACACGCACACGGGTCACTAGATTTCCCTCACAAGATGCATCTTACTTAAACGGCCACTTTGCGAGGGCCAACACATTCAAGAGTTCACTGCTTCCAGTTGCGGCAAGCTTGCACTGCCACAGCTCCAGAGAATAGGGCGAGCCATTCTGTCTCACAAAACGTCAAAATAAGTCTTCACCTGGCTGCAATCACCGCCATAGTCAGGATTGCCCCAAGCTACCACAGAGCCGTCGTCCAGAATGGCAGCAAAAGCACTCAGAGTTGCTTGGATTTGTTGGACCCGAACCAGCTGCACTTGCACCTGGCTGCAATCACCGCCATAGTCAGGATTGCCCCAAGCTACCACAGAGCCGTCGTCCAGAATGGCAGCAAAAGCACTCAGAGTTGCTTGGATTTGTTGGACCCGAACCAGCTGCACTTGCACCTGGCTGCAATCACCGCCATAGTCAGGATTGCCCCAAGTACCACAGAGCCGTCGTCCAGAATGGCAGCAAAAGCACTCAGAGTTGCTTGGATTTGTTGGGACCCGAACCAGCTGCACTTGCACCTGGCTGCAATCACCGCCTAGTCCAGGGATTGCCCCAACTACAAAGAGGCCGTCGTCCAGAATGGCAGCAAAAGCACTCAGAGTTGCTTGGATTTGTTGGACCCGAACCAGCTGCACTTGCACCTGGCTGCAATCACCGCCATAGTCAGGATTGCCCCAAGCTACCACAGAGCCGTCGTCCAGAATGGCAGCAAAAGCACTCAGAGTTGCTTGGATTTGTTGGACCCGAACCAGCTGCACTTGCACCTGGCTGCAATCACCGACATAGTCAGGATTGCCCCAAGCTACCACAGAGCCGTCGTCCAGAATGGCAGCAAAAGCACTCAGAGTTGCTTGGATTTGTTGGACCCGAACCAGCTGCACTTGCACTGAGGCAAATCACCGCCATATTTCAGGATTGCCCCAAGCTACCACAGAGCCGTAGTCCAGAAGGGCAGCAAAAAGCACTCCAGAGTTGCTTGGATTTGTTTGACCCGAACCAGCTGCACCTCCTTTTGCACCTGCTGCAATCCCACCGCCATAGTCAGGATTTCCCCAAGCTACCACAGAGCGTTCGTCCAGATTTGGCAGCAAAAGCACTCAGAGTTGCTTGGATTTGTTGGACCGAACCAGCTGCACTTGCACCCTGGCTGCAATCACCGCCCATTAATCAGGATTGCCCCAAGCTACCACAGAGCCGTCGTCCAGAATGGCAGCAAAAGCACTCAGAGTTGCTTGGATTTGTTGGACCCGAACCATCTGCACTTGCACCTGGCTGCAATCACCGCCATAGTCAGGATTGCCCCAAGCTACCACAGAGCCGTCGTCCAGAATGGCAGCAAAAGCACTCAAGAGTTGCTTGGATTTGTTGGGACCCGAACCAGCTTGGCACTTGCACCTGGCTGCAATCACCGCCATAGTCAGGATTGCCCCAAGCTACCACAGAGCCGTCGTCCAGAATGGCAGCAAAAGCACTCAGAGTTGCTTGGATTTGTTGGACCCGAACCATCTGCACTTGCACCTGGCTGCAATCACCGCCATAGTCAGGATTGCCCCAAGCTACCACAGAGCCGTCGTCCAGAATGGCAGCAAATGCCACTCAGAGTTGCTTGGAATTTGGTGGACCGAACCAGCTGCACTTGCTCCTGCTGAATCACCGCCATAGTCAGGATTGCCCCAAGCTACCACAGAGGAGCCGTCGCCAGGTAAATGGCAGCAAAAAGCACTCAGAGTTGCTTGGATTTGTTGGACCCGAACCAGCTGCACTTTGCACTGGCTGCAAGCACCGCCATAGTCAGGTTTGCCAAGCTACCACAGAGCCGTCGTCCAGTATGGCAGCAAAGCACTCAGAGTTGCTTGGATTGTTGGACCCGAACCAGTTGGACCCGAACCAGCTGCACTTGCACCTGGCTGCAATCACCGCCATAGTCAGGATTGCCCCTAGCTACCACAGAGCCGTCGTCCAGAATGGCAGCAAAAGCACTCAGAGTTGCTTGGATTTGTTGGACCCGAACCAGCTGCACTTGCACCTGGCTGCAATCACCGCCATAGTCAGGATTGCCCCAAGCTACCACAGAGCCGTCGTCCAGAATGGCAGCAAAAGCACTCAGAGTTGCTTGGATTTGTTGACCCGAACCTGCACTGAGCACCTGGCTGCAATCACCGCTAGTCAGGATTGCCCCATGCTACCACGAGCCGTGGAATGGCCTCAGAGTTGCTTTGGATTTGTTGGACCCGAACCAGCTGCATTGCACCTGGCTGCATCACCGTCATATTGCCCCAAGATCCACAGAGCCGTCGTCCAGAATGGCAGCAAAAGCACTCAGAGTTGCTTGGATTTGTTGGACCCGAACCAGCTGCACTTGCACCTGGCTGCAATCACCGCCATAGTCAGGATTGCCCCAAGCTACCACAGAGCCGTCGTCCAGAATGGCAGCAAAAGCACTCAGAGTTGCTTGGATTTGTTGGACCCGAACCAGCTGCACTTGCACCTGGCTGCAATCACCGCCATAGTCAGGATTGCCCCAAGCTACCACAGAGCCGTCGTCCAGAATGGCAGCAAAAGCACTCAGAGTTGCTTGGATTTGTTGGACCCGAACCAGCTGCACTTGCACCTGGCTGCAATCACCGCCATAGTCAGGATTGCCCCAAGCTACCACAGAGCCGTCGTCCAGAATGGCAGCAAAAGCACTCAGAGTTGCTTGGATTTGTTGGACCCGAACCAGCTGCACTTGCACCTGGCTGCTATCACCACCATAGCCAGGATCGCCCCAAGTCACCACAGAGCCGTCATCCAGGATGGCAGCAAAAGCACTATCAGTTGCCTGGATGTGTTGGACCCGAACCAATTGCTCTCGCACCTGGCTGCTATCACCACCGCAGTCAGGATGGCCCCAAGTCACCACAGAGCCGTCGGCCAGGATGGCAGCAAAAGCATGCCAAGTTGCTTGGATCTGCTGGACACGCACCAACTGCTCTCGCACCGGGCTTATTGAAAAGGCCCATGCAGTTTGGCCCCATGCAACCACAGCACCTCCTGCAAAGTGAAGGGCAAAGTCATGGTTTGTGGAAGCTAGCTTCACTGGCTGGACGAAGGCATCGATGTGATCCCCATTTTCAACGCCCGCCTCACTCAAGCTGGATGACAGCTCTAGCTGTTGCCCTTTGAAAGCAAGCCTCAAGAAGCGGCGCTTGAACTCCTGCTGTGCCGCAGCCTTCAATTCATGGACGCTTGACTCCGGCGAAGGGAGTGACACGGAGCAGCTCTTCCCACTCGGCAAGTACACATGCACTTGCATGGCGAATCGAGTTGCAGTTGACTGGCTAAGTGGCCGGATCCCTAGGAGACACATCAAAAGCAAGCAAAAATAGCAATCACAGAAGGCATGCCTTGCAAATGCTGCTAGTGTGCTATATCCTGCACCAACCGGAAACTGGATTTCCCCTTGGCCCCTCTGTCCGAGCAGAACATGAACGTAGGCTTTGTTGAATGTAGGGAAGTTCGTGGCGCATGCAGAAGGTCTTGCTCTTGCTTGTCTGGAACTGATTAGCAACCGCAGCTTGCAATGACACCTCTCCGTGTCTTCAAGCACACCGTAGGGCTGCCTTCATTCAGATCGATCCGCGATGCTGGATAGAGGTTGTGACCCGCTTGAGGACAAGGGGGCTTAAACTGCATTGTGCTCATATTGCGAGAAAGACACGATTTGCTGAATGACTCTTCTTGCCATGATGATTCTAAGGTATTGAGGACGTGAATATCATTGAGAGGACCCTGCGCACACGCACCACAACAGTTGCAACCAAATGAAAGTGTAAAGATGAACTAGTAGCATGCAGAAGCCCGGGCACCAAAGGATACTTTTGATTTCGCATTGCCAGCAAAAGGTGATATCAACCATGACTTAGCAGGACATTCTTACTTGAATCAGGCATACCCTCCAAACGACCCCGTGTAACGCGTCAGAAAGCATCTACACCAAAACTTGCTGTAAACATGAGATCCGCCCCGCTCGACGCTTTTCGCCCAATTAGAATCCCAAACGAGGGGCCTTGCAACCCGTCTCACCTGGCCCAACCCGAGAGTACAAACACAGTACGCAAATACATAGTACAAATCAACAACCATGTGTATGTGTGCACATAAATATATATATATATATATATTCATATACATATGTAAACATACAGAGTTTCACCCATTCCACTTGTTTGTACATCAAGGCCTTGAGCCTACATTACACTGATTCCATTCTAGCAATACTTACACATTCTATCACACACATTTTTACAAGATCTGTTTGATATCTATTCAGTTTCTGCTTCATATTCCGGCCACCTCAAAATGGAGACCCCAGACCTCCTTGGCGGCCGGCCTCTGCACGGGGGGGCTCCACCAGGCCGCCGGCCAGGCGCCGCTGATGACTTGGGATCGATTCGATCGCCGATCGCGCCGCGCGTTTTGGGGCTTTCGGGCTATCAAAGCTCGGCTGCAAGGCAAATCAACAGGAAGCCACCACAATTAGCATTTTGGGGGGCTTCCCTAAAAGACACACTTGCGCATCGCCGCAAGAGGAAACTCAACTACAAGTGGAAACCAATAGCTGAAAGCTGTGGACGTTCTAACTACTAATAAAAAGGGGAATGGGATTTGCGAGATTGATGGGCTGGTGCTATGGGGGGTGCAGTTTGGGGTGCTGGTGTACGTGGGCACTGTTTGAGGTGCTGGTGAGATTGAAGCTGGCACGCAGGTGACGGTGCGGACGGATTTTTGCAAGATTGATGGTAGGGCATGCGTGCTGTTTGGGGTGCTGCGGGCACTTTTGCGAGATTGACGGCAGAGTGCAAGGGTGCATGCAGTTTGGGATGCTGTTTGGGGTGGCAGGCACACTCTTTCGAGATTGACTGCCAGCAGCTGTTTGGGGCGTGTGCAATCGTCGGCGTGTTTTTTCGCTATCTGGGGTCTATGCTGATGCAATTGTTAAAGGAAACCAAAGGAAATCCACCATATGGGTTTTGGGCTTGGTTTAAAGGAAACCATGAACAATGCCCCCGCTTTTTCGTGAGGTCTCTAATTCTGGATGCGACTGATGTGGCCAGATCGGGACCAATAGAAATGGGACCCGACAAATGGGAGCGGCAAAAAGGAAAGGTGGTTTGCTTTGGCTCCCCTTTGCCGCAAGGATGCCGAGCCAAAGAACCCCTCGCATACGTAGAGCTTTCCATAGTCCTCGTGTCCCTAGCGGTTGGTTTGGCGAGTAAGTCCCCGCCCTAAAAATAGCTTGGGCCCTTTGTACCATTGTCACCGCGTCCTCGACATTGGAAGTTGATGAGTAACCCCCACCCCACCCCACGCCCCCGCAGTTTCTACTGGTGAGTTTTGGTTCGTGTGCCCTGTGTCATCCCCTTCAACGCCCATGCACCTGAAGGGTAAATCCAGGGATGGAAGCTAAGGATGTCTTGCAACTTTACACAGGAATAACTCCCATGGTTGTCAAAGGGCCCCGCTTATTGGGGAACCCTTCTCAGGCGATTCCGTGATTGGGAGATATAGTGAGAATTCAGCAACGCCCCGGAATTGCGGCCAAAGGCTTGAGAGGTCCAGGCCGGCCCGTGCGCCCGGCTAAGCGCCACACTCAGCCAGAAGAATGCTGCGGTCTCAGGGCGCAAGCAAGCAAATGGCAATTTCCGTGCCAACACAACACACCTGATTCATGGACATAATTTTACCTTCAAGACTACAGTTCCATAGTGCCTCAAAGGCAAGCAGTGAACACCTGTCCAGCCTGTCAGGAAAGTGCAGCTGGAGTGTCTCTTTGGGTGTCGCCTGGAAACTTGCCTCTGTCCGCCTTAGGTTCCTTTCAGGCCCTGAGACCGCGACACTCAGCCACGGAGCTTTTCAAGTCGAACCGCTCCTTAAAGGCAAATTCTGCATGGGCGAGTGTGCAAAAAGAGCAGTGCAACCCCAACCAATGTCCAATTGTAGTTGCCACATCAGTGAATAAATTATCATTGGCTTCATTCGTCTGGGCATTACAAAATCCCGTCCACACCCAGAGATGGCTTCCAGCTGATGGGCCAAGTCTGAAAAAAGTAATGATTATGATCTTCTTTTTTCCGTATTTAGTCAACCCCCAAATACACAAAATATGTTTGCGGGAGACCCGAAAGCGTCTGTTTCGCCACAGATCCCGGCCAGCTGTGCTCGCGCCAGGTGAGGGAGATCTGAGATGGGTAAAGGCCTAAGTGCGGTTTGCCCAGCTTCAGAGTTCCTTGAACTCCAGGTGGCATCCGTTTTCACCAACAGTTTGTTCGAACATGGTTCGAACCTGGTTTTAATGGGGTACCGATTAACGCCTGATGGACTCCCAGCTCGTGTTTCAGGTTGAAACGACTTGTGAAGCGCGCGGATGCAAATGGACATGGCGTGTTTCAAGACGGTGCCAGTCAAATCTTTCAAGTAGCTTGGCCTCCACGTATTTGCTTCTGCTACAAAGCCTGGCAATTGCTTGCAGCGGAGGAACGCACAGACACACACACACATTCCCTATCTCTTTGCCGGTCGCTAAAAGCAGCCGAATCAACAAATCAAGCGGACCATGCCACCGCTATGCCACTGGAAGCTCTAAAAATCCCGCTTGAACTTGCGAGCAGTCAACCGTCCCTTTTTCTCAAAAATAAGGTTTGGCATCCATTTGGCTTCCCTTTCAGACCAACCCAACAGGGGTCTATTCTGAGAAACTCCCATGGACCTGGGCTATCCCCGTATGATTGATGCCAGCTTCTGAAAGGTCATGACCATGCATGGCCTAGCGGGAAGGTTTCAGAAAGAACACAAGTCATCAACTCGACTCCAACATCTAAACGTCGAACAGCCAGCACTTCTTCTAGAAACCATAATGCCCCAGTTGCTTTGAATTGTTTCCTCTTAACTTCGGGGGAAAAAGCTGAGGCGCTCGCATGTTCCGCGCGGTGCCGCCGGTGCTGCCTTGCCTGGACATTGCCTCAGGCAACCGCGGGCGGGGGCGCTCTTCCTTTGAGGGGGTCCAACACGTGCATTTTGGAGGAAACCAGGGTTGTGCCAACTGTTTTAAACTCGGTCAAACTTAAACCACGATTGGGTTAAACAATCTCCTTTCGGTTTCTCTTTGAAGGGTGCCATGGCTTGTTTCTTTAGCGAACCTTCTCAGGCGATGACACCTTGGGTGCCGCCGGGCATGGCAATGGCGCAAGGCTGACTTGTGAGGGGATCCACAAGCAAAGAACCAGGCGACACAGTAATCACCCGCTTCACCCGCAAAGGTTGCCGTGGCCCAAAACTTATGTTCTGGACGACTCTTCCAGTCAAACACAAATCACAAGTCTTATACTTCAAAGCACTTCTAGTCTGCAATGCAATCATTCCGCGTGAGACAATGATCCATGCTGCACTCTTCACTCTTGCTGATACTGATAGAGCCTCTCTCGGCTACGATTGCTTTCTCCCCCTGCGAGCCGCGCGTCTCAAAGATTGTGCAGGGAAGTACTCTGAATGAGAATGTCCGCCTTGCTTGCTGGCCTGGCCAATGCAGCAATGACCTTTCCAAGCACAAGCCCTAGCAATCAGAGACTTTGACCGTGCCATCAAAGCCTGGGTGGCAAATAGGTGGCCTGGAACAAGTCAAAATCATGCATCCCGTTGCGGGTTCTGTTTGGATAAACAAGAATACCGGATTGTTTAGCAAGCATACGCGGTGTCGTGCTTGAAAGCCCAATTTGGGTCGGGCAACTTCCATTCCCAAGGCACACAACCGATTTGATCAGCGCGAATAAAAAAAGGGCTTGCGGCAATGCTCCACACAGAGCTTCCATCG